AAAAAAAAAAAAAAAAAAAAAACAACAACAACAGACCTGTGCTCTAATCGGCGATAGCCATAGCATAAGCGAACACGTGGCAGAATTCCGTACAGCTCTGAGGTAAAAGGCCTTGTAAAATTGGGGTTAGGCACAACTCCCTTCTTTGCCCTTGTTGGCCTTATCTGGACAAGGCCTTTTCCTTTCAAGAAGAAGGGGAAGAAGGGTAAAGAGACGCTGCAGCTATGGCCCTTTTACACCACAATTTAAAAGCAAGCGCCATGGCTTCTTGTGACCTATTAGGAAGAGTTCCTGCGACTTTTAGCTTCAATCAACTTGGGGAATCGTTTCCCAAAGCATGGAACAGCATGTGGGTCAAAGGAGGACCTTGCCTAAGCATTCTACATGTAGATATACACATATAACCGCGTTTTAATTTTACACTAATTATACCTAGGTCCGCAGGTTATTACCTAGGTAATCGTGGAATTTTCCTAGGTTTTACTTGGGTACTGGCATGACATTCCTACTAGGAACCTCCGGCCGGCAGTTTCGAAACCTACCGAAAACTTGCCGGAAACCGGCGGCGGACCGACTAACATTAGGTATTACCTGGGTCGCACCGGGGAAATTTCGGCCCGTACCTAGGTACGGAAGTCGCCCCATAAATGTCCCGTGACGTCAGCGATACGACCAGAAGCCGCGGCTGTGAAAAGATCCCCATGGCCAACGCTTTGGTGAGATCGAGTGACCAGGGCAGAATGAGTTAAGTGCCGGCGGCCGTACGTCTGCTGCGGCCATGCGAGTTGTCTCCAATCGGTCATGCACTGTATATGAGCATCTGCATGGTACGGTGTACCATTTGTGCCGCCATCACGTGACGGTCCGGGATCCGCACAGGCCGGAACGAAACCTGCATCGATTTGGCCGGCGGAAAGCATGACGACCATTACCATGCTCAAAGTTGGCGTCCGTCAGTACCGTTACCACAGCGTTCGGTTACTACCTACATGGTAGCCTGAGGCTGAGGCTCCAAAGAAGATCAGATTCAGAGTGGAGGAGTGAAAGGGATTTCCCTGGGCGCATTCTGATATCAGTGCTGGTAGATACGTTGTGTGGGGACCATTTCAACGCGGTGCCGCACATGGCTGCAAGTGGTATGCCACCCTGCCCCTATCGGTCTACATAAGGCGGATTGCGTATTCCATATTTGCGCAACAACATTGAAAGCCTGCGATCGGAAGCTTGTGATCGGAAGTCGTGCACTCCCGTCTGGTGGACTTATCGGACTCTCATTTAGCCTGTGAGTGATCAAGGTGGCGTGAAAGCATGGGGGCCAAGACGAAAACCGGCAAGGGACGGTTGGACAAGTTTTATTACCTGGCCAAGGAGCAAGGCTACCGCTCGCGTGCTGCTTTCAAGCTGGTGCAGCTGAACCGCAAGTATGGCTTTCTGGAGAAGGCCAGGACTCTGCTGGACCTGTGCGCAGCGCCAGGGGGGTGGCTGCAGGTAAGCGCCGACCAGGCGATCTCGTAGACAATTAGTCTTCAGATGTGCAGTGGTACCACTTTTCCATCGAAGTACTGGTTCAAAGTTTTGGTAATGGTGTGCTTTTTGGGAAAAGAAAGGGGAATGCAGAAAACGCATTATTACATGATGGCGATGCTCTTTGAACTTGCAAGCGTCAGCTTTTGAGGAGCCTGAGGTTGGGTCTAATTCCCCTTTGTATTTCCGGGACAGCTTAAAATAAACACGGAGTTATGACCTTGCAAAGATTTCGTGGCTGGAGCTACCTGTGAATAGCGGAATGCAGCATCTGGACTTTGTCGTCCTACCACCTTACCACTGTTTCCTGCTGTCCTTGTTGCGCCAGTGGGTCTCTGACTAGCGCTGTTGTGTGCAGATTGCGGCCAAGACGATGCCGATGTCCAGCCTGATTGTGGGCGTGGACCTGGCCCCCATCCGGCCCATCCGCGGCTGCATCACACTGATGGAGGACATCACGACGTCCAAGTGCCGCGCGGCCATCAAGCGCGAGCTCAAGGGCAGCTCGCTGGACGTGGTGCTGCACGACGGTTCCCCCAACGTGGGCGGGGCCTGGTCCAGCGAGGCCTACACGCAGAGCGCACTCTCGCTAGAGGCCCTCAAGCTGGCCACTGAGCTGCTGGTGCCGGGGGGCACCTTCGTGTCCAAGGTCTTCCGCTCCCAGGACTACAACGCCCTGCTCTTCGCCCTGAACCAGGTATGCGCGGCTGTACGGGTGGCCAGGTGCCGGGGTCTGTGGTGGTGGGGAGGCCACACTGACAAGAGGTTGACAACGATGCACGAAGAGTCAGTGAATCTGGACGCGGGCAGTAGCTTGCCGCAGTTGTTTGTGAACCATAGTTGTTTGTGAAGCCTCGGTGAAATTTGGGTTGATCAGGGCAGGAACATAGTGAGTCACTTATGCTTCGAGGCACTCACAGTCAAGACGTAGTTGTGGACGACTTGCCATCTCTGGCCAACCTGGAACAATTCGGACCCCTTGTGGCTCCCTGCAGTTGTTTGATCGTGTGGAGGCGACCAAGCCAGTGGCGAGTCGCAACACGTCTGCTGAGATCTACGTGGTGTGCCGCGGGTTCAAGGCCCCCGCCAAGATCGACCCGCGCCTGCTGGACGCCAAGCACCTCTTCCAGCCAACAGAGGAGGCCACGCCCAAGCCAGTGGACGTGCTGCGCGAGTCCAAGCAGAAGCGCCACAGGGACGGGTGAGCCATCGCTGAGCTCGCATGGTCCCAGCTCTTGTTGTGTTACGAAGAGACACCTGCTTTCTGGTACTCCGACGAACTACATCAAATTGATCTGAGACCTTTTTGTTAAAGTAGCTGATTGGTCAGACGCGGATGGATGTAAGGCGATGCCTCTGGCATTGAACGCTGGTTTTCAAGGCTGTTTGTTGAAAGAAGTGATGCCAAAAAGGCAAATTGACAGGTTGCTGGGTTGCAAGAGGCTTTTGTGGGCGAGGTGAAGCGGCTTGTTGTTGGAGCGCTCTTTCTTGACAAAGCGATGGCTTTTGTGGTCCGGAAGTTCCCGCCTCCGGAAGTTCCCGCCTCCAGCTGATAATCGCCCCTCATCTAAGTGCGGCCTTCATCACGTGGTGCAGGTATGAGGAAGGGACGAGCCTGGTGCACAAGGGGGGATCTGCTGCGGCGTTCATCAAGACGGACAACCCTGTGGAGTTCCTGGGCACATACACGTCGCTCGTTTTTTCAGGGCCGGAGGGCCAGCAGCTGCTCACGCACCCCGCCACGGACGCGGAGGTGCGTGCGCTGTGCGAGGACCTCAAAGTGCTGGGCAAGCGCGAGTTCAAGGCGCTGCTCAAGTGGAGGATCGCTGTGCGGCAGCAGGACAAGGAGGAGCAGGGGCCAGCAGAGGAAGAGACAAAGGGGAAAGAGGCAGAAGAGGAGGAGAAGGAAGAGGAGGGGGCAGATAGTGAGCGGGAGGAGGAGGGCGTGCTGGGGGAGATGGCGGAGCTGCGGGCCGTGATGGAGGCCAAGAAGAAGAAGGCCAAGAAAGTGGCAGCGAGGAAGAAGGAGAAGGCGCGCGCGAGGACGGCCACGGGGATGAGCCTGGATGCGCTGGGCGAGGGGGAGGGCGTGTACGCGGACGAGGAGCTGTTTGCGCTGGGCAGCATCAAGAGCGGCAAGGGGCTGGCCAAGGTGGTGCCGGACGAGGAGGCGGGAGAGGGAGAGGGGGGGGAGGAAGACGAGATGGACACAGAGGGGGGGCAAGACGAGGATGGGGAGGAGGAGGAGGAGGACGACCTCGACGAGGATGCGGAAGAGAAACGGTAAGGGAATTTGCGGGCAGCCTGCTGATGCAGAAGGAGGCAGTAACCTGACAGCGAACCTGGCAGAGAACTGACATTGTAAGGACATTTCGAAGTGACATCTCTTTTTCACACGAAATATGATATCACTTTTCAAGGTATCAGAATTCGAATTGTCTGTTCTGTTTGTGGGCAGGCACATGCAGATGCTCGAAGAGTACCTGGAGACCGCTTACGAGGAGTACCGTAAGCGCAGCGGGCTCAAGAGCAAGGCGGCCGACCGGCGGCAGCGCAAGCGGCTGGCGACAGAGAGCGACGCGGGCCCCGAGCTGGACGACGAAGAGGTGCCGGCTCCGGTTGCAGATGCAGGGTCCGACTCGGATTCGGATAGCGAAGATGAGGAAGGGGGGGCCAACCCGCTGGTGGTGGGGCTGGCCCGCGCGGCGAAGCCCAGCAAGGAGCAGCTGGCGCAGCAGTGGTTCAGTCAGAGCGTGTTCGGGGAGCTGCCCGGGGCAGGCGGGGACGAAGCGCGCCGCGAGGCCAAGAGGACGCGGCAAGAACGGGAGCAGGCGTCGAGCAGCGAGTCGGAGGAGGAGGAGGAGCAGGCGGGGCCGAGGTCCAAAAGGAGGAGGAACGACGGGGTAACAAAGGCTTCGGCGAAAGGGACGGCAGCCGGGTCGGGGCTGCATAGTAACGGCGCGAGGGTGGAAGAGGCGGAGGCGTCGGAGGCGGGCGGGTTCGAGGAGGTGGCGGCAGCGGCGAGTGAGAGCAGCAGCAGCGAGGACGAGGCGGAAGTGGACGGGTACGACACGGACGACAAGGCCGAGACGCTCGCGTACGCGCACGCCATGCTCAGGTGCGGCACCTGCAGCACACGCAGTCAAACACGCCGTGCAGCAGGGACAGCAGACGCGGCTCACCCGGAAGCGCAGAGGAGCTTGCTAGTGCTCTGCGACCATCGTTTCCGTCTCTTGAAAGGGAAGCCCAATCGAGTTCTTTCCTTATTCTCAACATCTTTCCAGACTGCTGCTCTGCTCCGGTTTGCTGCTTTGCTGTGGGTCACCGTGTTTCTTTCGTCCTCCAGGAAGAAGGGCCGCGAGGGCATCCTGGACGAGGCGTACAACCGGTACACCTTCAACGACGACGAGCTGCCCGTCTGGTTCAAGAACGAGGTCAGCTTCCAAATCATCTCCCAAGTTTCCAGCTTTTGGAGCAGATTTTTAGAGTCTTTGCTCTCTGGCTCCTGACGCACGAGCAGGTTTTCATCTGGTTTGAGTGGCGGCTGCCTGAGTGTGTCTGAGCGGTCCTTGGGCTGTGCAGGAGCGCAAGCACATGCAGCCCATCAAGCCGGTGACCAAGGAGGAGATCGACGCGTACAAGGCGCAGTTCCGGTCCATTGACACGCGCACACCCAAGAAGGTCGCCGAGGCCAAGGCCAGGAAGCGCGGCCGGGTAAGTACACGCCACCTCCTCTAGTGGGCCCCTTCTCACCACAGTCCGACCGTCTCCAAGGTTGCAGGCAGGCTGCTGTTGCCTTCTCTTACGTGCTCTTCGTATTCGACCACACGTTTCTTGCTCTAGGAATACTGCTTTTCTCGACATCGGTCAAGAGGCGGCTGGTTGACATTTTTTCGCTGACTTGACGTGCTTTGCATGCGGGCCGTACGCCGCCGCGGCCGCCATCCGCGCAGTTGTCCTTTGTCGGCTGCTCGCACAGTGCGCTGTTCTGACGTTTGGGTGTGGTGCCGCGCGTGCAGCTGCTCAAGAAGATGGAGCAGGTGCGGCAGAAGGCCAACTCGATCGCCGATGGGGCGGACATGAACAACCGCTCCAAAGCCAAGGTAAGCAGCCAGCCGGATCTGCTCACAAAACGCTCGTCTTTCCGTTTTGTATTGACAATTGTCCACGATCGGTACCGGAATTGTAACAGGACCCAAGGCGTAAATTTCTTCGTGACATTCTTTGCACCGTTTGCGTTTCGCCAGATCCAGTGCGTGCTGCTAGTCTAGCGTCGATCAGGTTGTGTATTTGAAGCTTTGTCCGCCCCCTCCAAATAAGTACGATTGTAAGTTCGCCGCACTTTCCGCTTTCAGATTTGCTTTCTCAATCTCAAGAGTGTCGTAGTAGCGCCGGAGGATCCGTGAAGGGGTGAGCAAGTATCTCGCTGTCCACCTATCAGAGTGGCTCAGCGAGGCTCGTCGCGCAGCTGGTCCTTCGCACCCGGACGCTGAGCGTGCGCCTGGTGTGTCGCAGATGATCGAGAAGCTGTACGCCAAGGCGGCCCCGAAGCACGTGAAGAAGGAGGTGGCGGTGACCAAGAGCAAGGCGGTGGGCCCCAGCGGCGCCAAGGGCAAGCGCAAGGTGGACGCGCGCATGAAGGCGGACATGCGGAAGCGGAACACCGGGGGGGCCGTCAACAGGAAGGGCAAGCTGGTGGGCAAGGGCAGCAAGGCCAAGAAGGGCGCCCAGGGCAAGGGGGGCAGGCCCGCTAAAAAGGCGGGCGGGAAGGGGGGCAAGGCGGGGGGAAGGGGCGGGAGATAAGAGTCAACTTGAAAGAAGCGTGAAGCCTCGTTGAACTTTGAATACTCAAAAGGCTTTATCTCGTTGAAAACCCGAAGGGTCCGTCCATGCAGGACTTCTAATCGCCTAGGCGTGGTGGTCTAAGGGAAAGCAGGTCCTCCAAGCAATTGGTTCAAACATAAGCTTCACCATGCTCTTCATCACTTCTCTGACATGCTTTGAGTCATGCCGCCAGCTAATCACAAGCTGCTAAGCGTGAGTATTAATAGAAATGCCAGTATATTGGGAAACTTCGAGTGACCATCTCCAAACGCATGTATGTGTGCTGCTGTGGTTGAAAGGCCCCGATCCAGTTTAGTCAATTTGACGCAATCGTCTTGGACTAGCTAGCTTGCTTTCTGTAGAACGGGTACGCGCTTGGACGCTGCCTTCAATACTCAAGCCAAAGCTTACGGGGTCGTGTTTGTCAGCTTTTGACAACGATTGTAAGCACGACGGTTGTTATTGCATCTGTGCGCGTGCTAATATTGAAGTGTGGTGGTGCCGCCGCGGCGGTACGGCGTTGTACGTCCGATCGCCCGCAGTGCCAGGCACATGGTATGTGATGATTTTTTCCGAAGTTGTACATCAATTTGGATTCAATATGCGATCGTCTAGTGTAAACAGTTTGATTATAGTGACCGGGCGCTTATATAATTCGAAGCCCGGTGACCATGTCATGCATGAACCCAATCTAGCTTCATGCATGCATTATTAGTACGTGATGATAATGATATTGACTTTCTGTTGCAAACTTAACGAGATATGCATATGTATAGTGCACCGCGGCATGCGTGTACCCACCGTACATGGTTATACATGTGTCATGGCCGCTCAATGAGTACATATGACAAACACATCCGGGCATGATTTCACCCACATTTTTGTCCAATTTGCAGAATTATATTGCTAGCTATAAGCTACCGGACACAAAGCGGCAAGCGCGCCTGGATAATAGTAAGCTTGCATGCGAACTGCACATGAATCGTGCAGCTGGGCCCTTCCGACATTTCTCTACATACTACTGCGATAAAGGCGCTGTCTCCTGTCCAAACACCCGGAGCTGCGCCAGGCTTGTTTACCAAGATAGATTGGATACAGGCAGCATTTGATCGATTGGCCAGTAGGACTCCAGGCTTGGCACTATCAGGGAGGCAGCCTGCTGTTACACTTTTTTGCTGAAAATCCTGACAGACAACCAAACCTTGGCATGTCAATAAGCGAAACTTACCAAACTACTAACTCGACCTGAGTTAAAGGGGAGTTTTACCTTGAGTGGACAGACGTGTCAACTAAAGTTCTATAAGAGGCTCTCTGAGTTGCGACAATCTGCTTGGGTTAAGGATAGGGTCACTAGCTCGACTTTACTCAAATCAGTGCATATGACGCAGGGAGTCTGACTGTGCAATACACTTGACCGCATGAGCATAAGGAAACAATCCAAATTGTGTTTCAACGTGCGAAAATCTCATTTACTCCAATCCAGTCTGGTTGGAAGCGTGCTCTTTGTGCTGCGGAACAAATACCTAGTATCGAATGTTCAAAAGAATGTTTCGCGGTTCTTGACCGACTTCAATGCAATAGCAACACGCGGCAAATGGTTGTGGCACCGAGCATCGCCGCTGTGACGACCAAGGCAGCAGGAATCAAGCGAACCTATTTGAAAACGCAGACTCGTTTCTTGCAATCTACTGTATCGTAGCGCATGTAATGTCATGCGCTGTATCTGTACAAGTGTCGTGATCTCACTCAACCCACGACCAACTCTTCAGGCCGGGCAGAGCGCTCCCCGATGGGCTTCCGCTGCTTCACCTTGAACACCTGCACGAAGCCACGCCGCCGTCAATGCACGTGCACATTCGAGGACAGCATCACGTGACACACCTTATGTTCTGCGGCCAACTTGACCATCATTGACAAGCTCCACACGGAACACCCGCCTCGTAAGTGTCCGAAGTATTGTGCAGCTGCCACTTCATCCCCTCTCTGCCAAATGGGTGGCGCCTGCTCACCTGCTCGCCCACCCGGAACTCGTCCCCTATGTGCAGCCGCCGCCGGCCCTTGACGGCGACCACGTCCCCATTCACCACCACCCGCACGTCGCTGCTGAGCGGGGTCACGTAGCACGCCCCATTGTCCAGATCGAACGATGCAATGCTGGCTGACGTCACCTCCCTGTCAGCCGCGAGTGCGCCCCCAGCTTCGGCGTGCAGGCTGCTGCCCAGGCCGTCCACGGTGGCCACCAGGATGCCGTCGTCGCACGTGCTGATACGCGAGGGGTCTGCCGCATTGAGGTCGCTGAGAGCCGGCACGATGAGCCACTCCGCAACGGAGGCGCGCGAGAGCGCGTCATCGTCCTTAAGCAGTACCGAGAAGTCGGAGCGGGCCTGCGGGGACACAGAGCAGAGCAGGGCCCCGTCAGGAAGGGGATGGCAAAGAGACGCAATCTCAGGGAGGCAACGCCGGAGGCCAATGGTTTCATTTCGGAGGCTTCAGAGTGCGGGCCTGACTTGTTACTCAGGATGGACTCACTTTCCTAATGACCTCCTTTCGAGCTCGGCTGCCAATAACTGGTACTTGCTAGCTGTTCTTCGGACACCTCTGTCTACGGCATCGTTTCAACAAGGATTACCCCGAACCCATCTGATATTAGGCAGGCGGCAAGCATCTCGAACATCCAATTTGTGTGACCTGAAAGTGTCCGGCAGAGAGCAGAACACCAAAGGTTCCTCCTTTTTGTTCGCTGGTTGGAGCGGTCTTGTTGGGCCCATCCCTCGACTAGCGACTTGACACCCAAAGTGTGCCCTCTCCTAGGGAAGAGGCGCTTCGGCGCTCACCTTTGACTCCAGGGAGCAGTAGGGCGCGCGGTTCTCGAGGTTCTTGTAGTTGCCGCCCAGGACCCAGGCGAGCATGGCGGGCATGGTGGGCGTCATGGCGAAGTAGCCGCCGACCTTGCCCGGGTGCGGGATCTTGAGGCTCATCAGCGGGGCCTCCAGCGGGCCCAGCCCCTCGCCCAGGTACCCCTTGTACGTGCTCGCCATGATGGCCGCCATGCGCGCAAACCCGTGGATAGCGCCCACGCGCATGCGCCGCTCGCCCTCATACCTGCGCGAACACAAATCAAAACTCAGCGTCAGCTTCTAAGAAAGGACGTGAAGAAAGGGCCTCTACAAAGACCCATGAGCTACGGACGACCGCTTGCGCGGTATGAAATCCAACATCACGACGGCGCTTGCTGGAAGACTGTGCGAGATAGGCACAAACACGTGTCAGGGCAGAACAACATCGCATAGCCCTATTCGAGACTGTCACTCTGACATCGGATGTAGAGGCGAAGCGGCGGGCCTTCTGGGGTGGGTCCTGCAAATCTTGGAAGATACAAGACCGACCGAGACTGCCAGCAGAAGCTCAAGTGGTCGATGCGTGCAGCTGGGTGTGACTGGTGCTCACTGGTGCAGGACCTGGTCGAGCTGCACTTTGCTCTTGTCCCCGCCCGCCTGCTCAAGCGCCTTGTCCAGATCCAACGCAAGCTGGTACGCATCCTGTACGCAGCACAACCGGCACACGTTGAGCGTGCAACTCAAAGTGCTTATTCCAGGCCTCAGTCTGTCCCAGAAAGCCCCTCTCAATAGTGGCAAGAGCAGACACTTCACATGTGGGGTAGACCCAGGAACAACGAATGATACACTATCCTTCCGGACCTGAATGTCCACGTCGGCGGCTACACAACAAAGAGCAGCCCCGAGCTCGCGTCTCGCACGCTTCTGTACAACACCGGCACTGAGCCTCCTTACTTAACCAAACAGTCAACAGGACCACCTTTGCAGCACAAAGCACCGCTTGTCCCCAGCGCCCTTCGACCTATGTCAACCGCAGCGGCTACCACCCAGCAGATATTGCATCCCATGGTTCCTTGGGGCAAGCCTCGCTGTGAGCCCGTCTTGACGAGTGCGTGCCGTGGGTGTACGCACCTCGATGGCCATGCAGCCGCCCTGCCCCAGGTTGGGCTGCATTGCGTGCGCGCTGTCCCCGAGCAGTGCGACGCGGCCCTTGGCCCAGGTCATGATGGGCTTGCGGTCGTAGATGTCGCGCCGCAGAATGTCCTCCTCGGGTGTGGCCAGCAGCAGGTCCACCACGTTGTCGCACCAGTTCCCAAACAGCGACAGCAACCGCTCCTTGCGCTCTGCGCCAACAGCAAATAGAAAATGTAAGAATACAGGGGAGCACAAACCACTGCAAAGCCCCACAGAAGGTACAAAGAAGGAAGTGGGCAGTTTCTGGAAATTACTCTCCTGCAGAAAGAGGTGCTGCACACCAGGCTTCTTATTGCAGCACTTCTACGAAAATGGTGCTTTGAATTCAAAACTCGAATGCCAGAGTGCATTTGTCGCAACAAGCCCACTACAAGGATACCCACAGTCTAGCCACACCCACAGTCTAGCCACAAGCAGTCTGGCGGATTCCTAGATTCACAACAACCCTTCTTGTGGTGCTTACAGGGCATTGCAGCAGAGGCACTCACTTCCTTCGGGGTCAGTTCCCCCTGCCGCCTCGCAGTGGAAGGCATACCACTGCATGCGGCCGCCGCCCACGTCGCTGCTCACAAAGTACTGCCGGTTGCCCAAAAACACACGGTACCTGCCCCAAATCCAAACAAACATGTTAAAACCCGAGCACGGGTTTTTGTTTCCGACGGGCTTCGCACAGACTGATGCTTCCTCTGATAGCGACACTGGACTCATCGCATGGCTAACAGTATATAGTCAGAACCCTAACTTTTTGAAGATCTGCCGATGGCCATCAGGCGTTCCCTGGTCTCTCACAGCTCCAATTCAGCATAAAAGTTTGCAATGCCCTGCTTGCTGCGTCTTCTCACCCGACGGTGTCGATGTCTGCAGGCACAAAGTCTGCGATCCCGGTGTAGCAGGTGTAGTCCGAGTAGACCGGCTCCGACGGGCCAAACAGCTGCCGCCGCACCTTGGAATAGATGCCGTCCGCGCCAATCAGGATGTCCCCCTCCACGCGTGCACCGTCCGCCAGCAGCGCCGACACCTGGCTGCCTGTGTCCTCAAAGTCCACGACCGTGGTACCATTCTGGACGTAGCTATCGCCCAGATGCTTGGCCAGAATCTGCTGCAGCTTCATACGGCTGCGAGCGCAGAAGAAATGAGAACAGGTTGAGGGCAACGAACACCAAGCGGGACCCACTAAAGTGCCCACTTGTCAGAAAGGAACGACTACATTGGAGTGCGCAATGAAGTCAGTTGGCTGCGGCACGCCAATATGCAAGTCCTGGAAAGGCAAGCTCGGTCTGACCGTCCTTTCTTTGGAAATTTGTCACAGCTCGATGGCACTCAAAAGCTGAACCAAAGGTTGGAAGGCAGTGGGCTGGCGCACCTGATGACCCGGGTGATTGGGAGGCCTCTCTCCACAGCCGGGCTGTAGGTGTCAAACTTGACATACCTGCAAGAGAGGGGAAAGGGGAATGAGAGCCTGCCTAGAGGAAGCTTCAGAGCATCCGTAAAATGATGTATAACCCTTGTGGGGCTCCATCTGTTCATCGCAAACAAACCCTAAAAGAACATAGACGATTGTCTATTCTCACTGAGCTGAATCTGCCCCTTGTTAGACTTGGCTCTGTCTAAGAAACTCTTGCAGCAACCTTGAGATGGACAGAGGAGGAGCAGATCTTTCCAGACTACCATCGAGAGTTCCATCTTGCCCACCAATCGAACACCAAGCCTAATGAATGCAGGCTTCTTTCCTGCCGCAACATTTGCCCTCCCACCATATGCCCCCTTCTCACCACTGTCCGGTGACTCCGTCCACAAGCCCATTGATGCGGTCCCCGGTGATGCAGCCATTGGCCATCACTTCCTGCGCCATCGCCGGGTCCACCGCCTCCAACGCAGCCAGGGCGTTGCTCTGGATCTGTTTGCATTACCAAAGAAAGTGTGGACTTCATTGAGCGGCCATAAGCTGTGCAATCTAAAAAACTTTTCTGTATTACTGTAACCAGTGAGGTTCAATATGGTTCACCAGCATGAAGCAAAAGAGCCAGTCAGTAGCCCTGAGGAGAAACACACAAGAACGATGCAGGCTGCCTCCAAAAACCCTTTGCCCGCAAATATACAAAGACAAGTACACTAATACGCCCAAGTTATGGGGTCAAGGGCAGGCCCACCACTTGCATTCGCACCACATTATTGCTGGTTCACCTCCAAGGATTTCTTGTCAAACATTTTTAGGCTTGTGCTCATGAGCGAAAGCTCCTCAGCTGGTGCGCATGCATAGTCTCCAGCATCTGGTGGCACTGCTGCAAGAAATGTGATGACGGCAAAGTCAACTTGCACAGAGACCTTGCCCGTCATAAATCTCACCTGGATGGGCCCTCTATATTTTCCCTCTCCCCGAACCGCACTCAAGTCCCGCTCAAACACAGTAACGTCGAAGCCTCTATTTCTGGCTGCCAGTGCAAACACAAGCCCGCCGATGCCCCCGCCCGCTACCAGAACCTTCAAGTTTTTCTTCTTTGCCTGCCCGTTGTTGTCATGCTGCAACTCGCTGGCCTGCCCAGGCTCCCCACTGGGACCCGCAGGGGACGCCTGCCGCTGAGAACTAGGCGGGGCTTCTGTTGCAACGGCGCACACTACGTTGTGCCTACGGCCAACTGGCACACCGCACGGCCGCAAGGCAGCTGTGCAAGGAAAACGGGCTGGAAGACATGGCAGAAAAGAGCTCGCCAGGAAGCAGCTCGACTGAGACCGCGACCTCTCGCAGACCTGCAAACAAGCATTTGATGGACCAGCCGCAGCAAGCGTGCAGCTGGCATGCGCCATGGGCCTGCGCTTTTGCACTCTTCAGAGCCTTTGTCAAGGCAACGCTGCAAACACAGAACGATGCACCCTGTGTAGGACCAACGGTGGAAGATGCAGGCGCCTAGCTGAGGTTCTCTCCTCTGCACGAGCTCCTCAATGCCGAAGTTTGGTCCACCTCATCAACAGACCACGAGCAGAGCGCCCTTTTCTGAGTCTCAACTGCGGCGGAGCCCCACTGCAGTCTGCTGTGCATCCTGCAGGCCTGACTCAACTGTGCACCAAGATCGCGGCTCCGGGTCGATCTAAATATCTTTTCACTCGTGCGATTTGTGTTCATAAAGCAGCCAGGTCAACGCAAGAATCAAATGCTGGAACTGGATTGGGCGATTTTATCCAGCTGAAGATCTTGCAAGACTTGGAAGGTCCGACACGTGACCCTAATTTGAAAGCGCGGAGCTCCCCGGTCAAAGTCCCGGTTCCCCTAAGTGCCAAACTAGGTTCGGCTAGCTCCAGATGGGTAGCTCGGTGATTGCAGAAGTTCAAACCGGGGCAAAGTTCCATACTTCACTCACAGCCGTCGATCGTTTCAGAGGGACACGTTGAAGCCATCCACCAATCCGATAATCAGATGGCTGTGGTCGTCCGTACTTCATGCTTGAAAGTTAAAACTGGTATCAGCTACTATCAGGCGGGTGAACTCGGCAGGTACGAGTATCCACCACGGTACGTCCACGAACCACGGTACTGCCTTCGACGGTCGTTCGATGTTGACTCGCTTGCAATGCGCAGAGCGCTACGACGTAGTCCAATACCGTGATACGACGAAAATGCCGATCGGTACGTACCAAGGTGTAGCCGGATCCTTGTACGGAAAACGAGCAATCATAAGATCTATTAAATGTGCCCCGGACTCCGAAAGGAATCAGCATCTTGTCGCTGGTGACTCGGACTCAATGAGCAAGTGCGCACGCCGCGCACTGCACTGCAGTCTGCGGCTAGGTAGCTAGTATGCCACTACGAGTCTGGCAGGCGGCTACATAGGCCGGCGCGGCCGACGGCCAGGCAGGCTAGTAAACTAAACGCACTTAAGTTTACCTGGTTTGCATGCTTTCAGTGTCTGATTGCATATGTGGCCAGAATATGCCTTGCATGAATCGGAAAATGTGCTGTGCTGGAGCTATTGAACTTGTAAGGATCATACCATGTCGATCAAAGGTGAAATCCGTGATACTCTTGAACACTAGCCATCTGTGTTGATTGAACAAGGCCTGAACAACTCCAAGGAATCTGCAACGTTGCACCTCGTACCTGGGCAGTCTTTAACTCCTCTGTCCCATGTTGACTTTTATCTACAGGTAGAGCTCTATGTATGCAAGCAATGAGCCCAGCGCAGACTGGGCCCGAGAAGGGATGTCCTAGCGCACTACTGCTGAGCTATTCTGGCTCTATCACTCTGCGCTTTGTGCGCTTGTTGTTCTTCGACCGGCCAGCTGCCAACGTGAGCCCCTCCCCCTTGAATCTTTCGATCCGCGCCAGCTCAGCGGCTGCCAGGGCGGCTTCTTGCCGCCGGCGCGCCCGTCTTCTCTCCACGACCTTGGCTTTCGCCTCCCAGATCGCCTGGAGAGATTTCACCTCTGCAGTCAAGACAACTGGTCCTGAGATCCCACGCAGAGGAAAAGCGTGCTGGAATGAATTGCAGCATAACGAAGCCAAGAGGGCAGGTTGAGGGGACCTCGGCCCTTCGAACCTGAACCTGCTTCCCTCCGCTAGCAAAGAGTCAGGACGCAGAACCTTGCTCTCAACCATGTACGAGACAGTACATGGTGTTCTCACCTGCCGGACTGCTCGCAGACGCCTCTTCACCCGCTATGCTCGTTACTTCATTCTCGTCGTCCTCAGCGGACTCACCACGCGTGCCCGCATCCGTGCCGTAGCTGGCCACGGGCCCCTCTAGGAAGCCGTCCTCCGACTCGGAGTATTCCTCTCCGTCGGAATACTGCTCGTCTGCATTCGAAAGCAAAGCGTGCTCTTTAGAGTCTGTCCACCCGTCCAAAGCTTCTCTCCAGATCGGAAGGAGCCCTCAAACATGGCGGAACCAAGTCAAGCGAACTTGGTGCCAAAAAACAGAAACATCGTCAACGGAAGGCAAGCCAAGAGCCAGGACCATTTTTGCTAACTGGTGCATACTGCAGACCGACTTGATGACCTTCTCAATCACCGAAGGCACAGCGTATCGTCTGCTCTGGCTGCATCTACCAAGGGTTCTTACAGCAAGTGAAGAGGATGTCCTCAAGAAAGCTCCTATCCTAATTCTGTCGACCGCAAAGTGGTAATCAAGCTCCGCACCGCCTTCTCTGGTTGACCACAAGCAGGACAAGCGCAGCTCCAGCTGCCAGCGCCCAAGACATGCACTACACCGTTGTATTTGCCGGCCTCACCGGAGGAGCCCGCCTCATCGCCCCCGCCCCTGACTGCTCCCTCAAAGTCTCGCTCGCCCGCCTCTGCGGGCCCCTCTTCGTCGCTGCTGTACATCATGTCATCTTCCTCTGCTTCCTCGTCCGCATCCCGCCTCTTGTCCGGGTCCACCTCGATGAAGCCACGCGGCTCCTTCCCTTTCCGCTCGGGCGGCTCGTAGTCGGTCTTCCAGCCGCGCAGGCGCTTGGTCTTGAGCGACAGCTTCTCGTCGGGCGGCCCCACGAGCGGCACGTCCTCGCTCGCGCGCTCCAGGCGCACCGTCTGCACCTTGCGCGCGTTGGCCATGGTCACCTTCAGGATCCACTTAGTGCGGTCCTCCTCCGGCACCGCCTCCTCCTCGCCCCTGCACCATCGCGCAGACCGGAACTGTGAGACTCGTCGGCGGCCCCTCAGCGATTTGTCCAAGCGAACATTTGACCTTGAGGCTCGCCACTCGACCATCCCACCTTCGTCTGCTGAGAATCCCAAACCCCGAAAAGCTTTAAACGCGAGTCCTGACAACCTACTACGAAGCTCATGCTGACCAAAATGGGTGAAAGAAGGCAGATGGGGTAAGACAAAGAACACTATCTTGTGCAAGCTTTGCGACTTGCAGGAAAAGAGCGCACGAGCTCCGTATCGTTTTTCAACAGTCAGCAACTCCAAATACTTGGACTGCAAGCGTTCGACGGGCCTGACTGTTTCGTCTCCTTTGATCGGACGATCTTGCAGCAAGATCGGACGGATTTTATGTAGCGCTGTCTGTCCTCTCATTTTCACGCCACCAAACTCAGACGTCAATCCTGCGCTCAAACATCCCTCAGAGTGAGTTTCTCGCTTCTAGCTTCAAACATCCCCTCAGACCGGTCATTAACGGAAGGCGCGAAGGGTACCTGTGGTGGTGCTCCTGCTCTTGCTCTTTCTGTTTCTCGTCTTCCCGATGCTCCTTCCGGGACTTCTTCAACGTCACCGTGACTGCCTCGCCGGAGCGCGGGATGTAGCCGAACGCACCGCACACCCAGCCCGACACCGTCTCAAACTGGCCCTGAAACGACGAGCGAAGTTTCCGGGTCAGCTCCTGTCGTCTTAGGGCAGACAACTCGGTCATGGCACCAGAGCGAAAGGCTGTTGAAAAGTTGTTCTCGCGTGTTGTCAAACATTGAAGGTATCCAGCCGAACAACAAGCCTCGGTGACAGCTTGGAGATTCCAGAAGTCACGCCAAAGGCGTATTCGCCCCTCAGACTTGGCACCTTCCCAAACAGGCTTTGCAGGCGGTTGCTCACCTCCGGTATTTCCAGGTTGAGCTCTTCCTCGAGATGGTCAATCGACGTGTTAGCGTCGATGTCGTAGATGTCGTTGTCCCGCCCGATGATGTAGCCCGCGCGTTTTCGAATCTCCTCCTTGCTGTCGTTCTCGTCGTAGATCTCGCCCACAATCTCCTCCACCACGTCCTCCAGCGTCACGATCTGGAAAACACAGCAGCACGACACGGTCAGCAGAGGACGAGGCACCAAAATGCGACGCGAATGACCTCGGCTTAGCAAGTGGCTTATGATGGGAAAGTGTAGCAAGAGTTTCCCTGCCCGACCGCCGCGGTCAGTCCTGGCGGTCATTGCAGACATTTTCTGTTTCCTTGTCCATGAAAGTCCTTTTCTTGCCTAATCCTCACCTTGGGGTCCTTTCAACGACCTAAAAAGGGCTTCAAAATATGCCACTTACTGTCAAAAACAACCCAAGGTACGAAATCTGCCCTGCCGGCCTGAATGCCGTTTGACATAAAGGCCTCGAACAGACCAGTCCCCAGTCGAGGCATGCGCACTCACCCCGGTGGTCCCGCCGTACTCGTTGACGACGATGGCCATGTGCACCTTGCGTATCCGGAACTCGCGCAGCAGGTTCCAGACGGACATGACGTCGGGCACGAAGTAGGGGTTCTTGTGCACGATGCGCTCCACCGTCAGCTGGTGCAGCAGGTCCGGCTCGTCCACGTAGTCCAGCATGTCCATCGCGTACGCAATGCCCACGATCTTGTCGATGCGCTTCTCATACACCGGGATCCTGTTAGCAGAAACAGGCTATTAGTCTTTCCAATCTTAGGAATCGTTGGAGCAGCGAAAAGCAGGCAAACCTTGGCGGTGCCCCTGCAGTGCACCGCTTCCAGGGTTTGGTAGAGTTGTAAGAATCACAGCCGCTTTGAAGGATGCAAACTCAAAACTGGCGACGAGCTGTCAGCACGATGAAAGCAACTCACCAACCAGCGACTCCAATGCGGGGTTCAATGTTGGGGGAAGCATGCTCTCAATGCGGCTGACATTGCCAATAGCTCCCCTTTGACGATGTTGTCTTACTTGCAGACTTCTCCGATTGAGAGGATGACGCTGTAATGCACGTTGGCGCCCTTTGACGTTGGTTTCCTGGGTGAGCGGGCTGCAGTGACATCCCGTCGTTACCTGGAGTACTGGTGCTGGATCCAGAGGTCGCGCAGCTCCATGAGCGTGGCCTTGCTCTCGATGGCCTCCACGTCCACCAGCGCCGTCATCACCTCCTTCACCGTCGTGTCGTCCATCTCCAGCACCGCCTCAATCATGTCCTGGACACAAAGCACACCGCGCTCAGCAGAGAACCGGATACGTGTTAATAGGGCTGGACCAGCAGTTCACAAAGGTCAGCAAGAGCCCGCACGAAAGCCCCACCGAAGGCACCTACGCAGAACGTCAAGCTGCAGAAAGCGGATCAAAATTCGTGCAGTCAGACACAAAGGCAACTGTGAGTGAAGGCCGCGATATGGGCCTTACCTGTTCCCCCGGCTCGATTGTGCCACTCATCATGGCCCCACTGAGCATTAGCTTCATCTCCTCTTCACTCACCAGTGTTTCCCTGGAAAGAATAGGAACACCACAGTAAACATGAGCGCCGCCCCAGAAGGCCCTCCCAGGACATGATAATGAAAGATCAAAAGCAGGTCAAAAGCAGGCGCTGCCTGGCTATCGATCACACCATGTCAGGACGCCTGCATGCCCAAAGCGCAGTGAGGGGCAAGACCCTTACCCCGAGCTCTTCAGTCCCAGTAGTTTGAGCAGCCCAACAGAGAGCCAGGTGCAGACACGACCAACCGGGTACAGGATGGTCGACAACCAGTGGACCGGCCGCACCTGCATCCAAGATAAGTAGAACTCTGAACCTCTGTGGCAATTACATGCCTGGCAGCACCGCACACAAACTGCAACTTTGCCCCTCGTGGTAGCTTCGTCAAACAGGGATGAGCTCTGTCCTTGTGAAAGGGGCCAGAAAAGTGACCATCATTGGAAAATTAAGCAGTACACAAGCTAGGAGTTTATTGCCGCATTGAAAGTGCTTGCTAGCAGAGAGGGGCTGGTAGAATTGATTCAAATGGCACTCACCACCATGTTTGCCACGGCCGGCGCGTTGTGCACAGCAATGCTTTTGGGGGCAATCTCAGTCAGCAGAAGGACGACGACCTGCAGGAAAGAGGTGCTTACTCGATAAAATTGGACAACTAAACCATATTCTTCTCCTATCTCAAAACCACACGGTTCAGCTACCATCAGCTGTTCCATCGAACCTGTACTTTCATAAAAAATTGGCAACATCGCCCCGGCTCAAGGTGCGGGCTAAATGCCGAGACAGCTTCTCACCGTCATCACTGCAGTTGCTGCCCCAATGCCCGCTTCTCCAAATATCGACGTCACTGACTCTGTCACCAAGGCTGTGGCCGCGATGTTTGCAATCCTGTATGAAAACAAAGATAAGACTCATTAACCCCAAAAGTGGAGAAGTAAGCCCAGCTTCATAATGGCTGCATGCCTCGGGCAGCAATCAGATGCTAGATTCTAACATAAGCTAGTCATGCTTCATCAAAACTTACGTCCCAGTGAGTGGCTGTTAGTCTGCATCACCGACTTGTGATTATCCAGCGTTGTCAGCCATGAACCAGAGAAGAAACCCTTCCGAAAGTGGGCTTACGTTGAACCAATCAGAATGGTGGTGAGGAATCGAGTGACGTCCTTTTGCAGCAACCTGAAAGTATCTCCCAAGCCTTCCTCTTTTTCCTTCTCAGCCAGTTCGCGAACCTGCAAACAATGACCTTTCACATCGAACATGCACCCGCGGCTGGAAGCTTTCTGAAATGACGTGATTGATCGTAACACAAATGGGCAAATCTCAGCCGCTCTCAATCGTAACCCTGATACAAGCACCACCATGGGATCAACAGCTTACAATCGAGTTTCTTTGAATTTGCAAATCAATCCTCCGATCAGACCCGAAGACTTGCATTTTCATCGGAAACTGCAATGCCATCCATGTAAGATGCAGTCCCAAACCTTCCTCACCTTCCACGGCCACAGCGTTGTGATGGACGTTTCCGCTAGCGAGAAAAATGCAGAAGCAGCCAGGAGGGAAGCCAGCATTACGCCGTGCTCTTTCAGTTCCGCACAGCACTTGACAACCCAGGGCCACGACGTATGTACATAGTCCTGCAACCTGCCAGCTGCCCTATCCTTGACACCTGCCAGGGTTAAGGCTTGGGCGGGTGCTCCTCCAAACACACTATACACCGCAGCCGCAGCAACAAATACCAGGACAGCCTTGCCAGCGGCTCTGGCAATAGCGGACCAAAAACCCTGCTGTGGCTTGGTTTCGGAGGGTGCCGCAGATCTGAAATCTGATTTCCGTCTTGACCGCCCTCCGCAATGAACGGAGTGATGTGAAGACTCTGGTCTTTGATGTGTGGAGTGCGTTTTACCCAAAAATTGAACAACTGAAACAGAATTTCCCAAGCTGTACTTGTGAGTTTGTAAAAGAATGCTGCTGGAACATCTGCTGAGTTTCGGAATCGCGCGGCTTCGATAAGCTCTGATAAATGGACTTTGGTGAGGTTGGCACTTCTGTGGGGCCTGAAACGATCCACAAATTTGTTTGCTACCAACTACCCTGTGGTCCAACAGCCCAGCCCCCATCCTTGTGCCCAAAACTGCATCACCAAGTGCTGGCAAACAGCATGCATTCATGTTCATCAATCTGATGCTGGGTTACTATATCACTGTCAGCTTTAAATCTCAAGCCTTTACTCATCAACTACCGAGGACTAAACCATCTGCTTGACAAGCAGGCATCCGGAAGCGGACTGGTTGGCACATGTTCAGATGCACAACAGACTTAATCTACGGCCGTTTGAGGAAACTTCAAAACAACGATGTTGTTTCCTTCCTCGTAACTGCCACTCCTCAGCTTTGAGATGCGTAGCATCCTCCACCGATTCCAGCATATGGCTGCCAAGCCCGTGACCAAGCCGCCTCTCCATTCCCTTGACAGAGAATACCACCAACTGGCAACTGGCAATGGAAGAGCTCTTCCAAGTTCTGGCACTGACTTCTGGCTCTCCTGACTCGGGCTGAGCACTGGTTCCCCGATCTAGGCGGGGCGGCTGGAGCCGGACGGCAGTGGTTGGTACCGCTCAAGAGTCACCGGGCACTGGCCGCTTGATGCGGCTTGCGTGTCCAACAGCACTTGTGAGGTTTGGATAATTGCCGGGCCCCACAAGATTCCTTTTTCCAGTACGTACCAGCGGAGCAACGACCGGGCCCTGCAGCGTTGGTAAACAAGAAAGTTGGGCACACCTGGACTCGGAGGGCCCCAGGCCCAGGGCCAGGGTGCGCATGCTAGCGCTGCGGCCCCGCGGGTACCCCACAGCCTATGCCAGCTTTACTAAAACCCGTCAAACCCTTTTAACGCTTTCATGCGGCCGCGCCGGCCGCGGCACCAGTGGTTAGTCGCGCGGCCGGTTTCAATGCCCGGCCCGGCATGCATTCATCATGTCGGCCAGTTGTGAGCCTCATGTTTTCTACCTTGAACCCATGCAGCTTGCTGCTTCACCAGGACAACCGAAACGGACTCTACACCCCGGCGGTGCCTTTCGAGATCTTCATAGCTGGACGGAGGGTCGACATTGAAGCCACGAAAGCTTAGCTGTTGATACCGTTGTAAAGTTTCGGATAGGTTTTGACTGGTAGTTGATAGGTTGATAGGGAAGTGAGTGAATCCATTCTAGCTGGCTTTGCATGACACTCTCACGAACTTCAAAATTAAACATTCAAGTGCCGCCGCCATGAGAAGCCTATGGCCTATCAATTGGCCCAACACGCATGACGACGATACATGTGCAACAGTCCGAGCGACGGGAGAGTCTGGTAGCTTGCTCCAATTAGTTACTTAACGTCGTTGTGATCGGATGGGATTATTGGCGACCTACATATTGTACCTAATGTATGCACATGCCAGGCTGAATAGCCAAGTTGGTCGATCACCTCTTTCATGAGTCCAGGGCTCAAAGCAATGTGGCGGCTTTGTGTCGTTGGATGTTTAAACGCAGCCTGTACATCTCATGTTGCATGATATGTGATTGACCACCTATTTCAGTAGACCACTACAAAGCTACGGAAGTATTCCCTCATCCCTTTGGTAGGCGGATGACCGACTCTAGTGTTGTAATGATTCCACTCACACGCCAGCTTCACATTGGTCCTACAACTGCAATGAGTGACTTCTGCAGGCCTTGATGTGTGAACAGACCTTACTTTTGTTGGTCCGACCACTCTTGCGGGGTTAGTGCCTTCTTGATACTTAGTGCATGTATGCTCTTCAATTCTTCTGCAAGGGCTGCATTAACTGCAAGAGCAAGAACCCACAGACTTCAAGAGCGATGCTTCGGTGTTGCCCATGAAAAGCACTTACGAAATGTACAAGCACGACCTTGAAGTGCCCACTCAACTTTCCCAGGCATTGTCGTTGTAAGTTGACATAGCTAAAAGATGGATTTTGCATGTGAGCCAGTGCTCAGCGACTCTGGGCCAGATGGAGACCAGTCTACCATGCAAGCTCCATATTTTCTGATCCCACCTACAGCAAGAACAGAGCAGCTTATTATTCAGAGTACCACAGCAAGCTCACCTAACCTATGCCGCTGGATCCGTGTTTTTCCGTCAAATTGCTTGGATACAATTGCCACATCGAATGATGCACCGCATCTGCCACAAAGGGTTCGGGGTTGCCAATTGAGCAGGAGGTAAGGACATAAGTAATGAGGAGGATCATTGAATGCCCATCTTTGGGTTGGTATGGCAAGAGCAGCGCTGTAATGCTGGAGACTTGGCGATCAGAACAAGAAGCGAAACACGAACTTCTGATCATGCAACGGACTGCAATTGCAGCTGACTCCTCAATATGCAGCTTGATAGTCCAAATTTTATTAAATTCATGACGGTTGACTCAAACGTTAGATAGCAACTAATACCAAGCCGTAGGTTATCAAAAGTGCCAGTCTTCCATACCCAGTAAAAAGAGGTATGAAACATGGACTCCTGTCAAATGTGCTTCCCATCGGCCGTTCTAAGTGGTTAGAAGATAAGGGAAGCAGTTGTATTTGGAGCTCATGGTTCATCAGACAACCTGACTGCAAGAGCTGCTGATACAGAGCTCCACAATGCAGGCTAGTGGAGCGCAATTAATCTGAAGTGGCTAAGATGGGTGCTGTCAACTCAACAAGGTAGTTATAACACAAGCGAGATGGTGGTGGTGGTCAAAACTATGCATATGCACTCTGGCAACTGGCGCATGTATTTCGCAACCACCTGTCTGCTACTGAAAGTTGCAGAGGCAAGGGGGAAGTCCAGGGGGATGGGTAAAACTCAGAACTAGCTTTAGTGCTGTTAAAGCTTACCCGCCAGAGGTGTCAATCACGGTCTGGAGAAAGAGGAATCAAAAGTTCCATCAGTGTAAAGCAGTCACACTTCAAGGAGAACAATTGCAAGCGAGGGTTTTCTGTTGGTGGAAAGGAGATTGAAGTTGCTCCCACACACTCAATTGGGCGGCGTCAAACTTGCAGACTTTGCAGGAAAGTTGCTAGGAAAGCTGTTCACACGGCCCATCAATTGGTTATATCATTCCACAGAAGCTCTTTGGCCTCACCAAGTCTCAAGTCTCATACTGAGATCGCCCATCAAGTATTTGAAAGTTTGATACGACGAACCAGCAAGGTATCAGCCAAGCAACTTTTTCTCAATGATTCTTCCATGCTGGCTAAATTCTCAAAAAGCTAACCCATGGGGACCATAATTTGCAATTGCAAGCAAGATACTTACCAGCTGTTCTGCTTCTAAACTAGAGCGCAGCCTGTCTTCAACACTCTCTGCATTGACATTCATCCTGGACCTCTGAGAAGGCAGAAGACTGTTTTCCGAGGAGTTCCACGATGCCACCTGTTACTTTCTGGGCGTGACTACTTAGCAGCCGACAAGCAGCACTGTTGGAAGGGAGCAATTGGAGCTGACAAGTGGTGGTGGGATATGTACATGTGGAGAGGAAGAGGATGAACTTACAGGATTTACAACTTGCTGGGTTGCAGGGCTAGCTGTGAACCTTCTTCAAGGCAGCCTGAGCAGCTTCTAGAAGTACAATCTGGCTTGATACTACTGTAAAGCTTATGAAGGCCCTGGGAAAACTTAGAAAGCTGCAAGTTGAACTTGCAACCAAGCACCAATATCATTGAATATGGGAAGAACTAATTTGTAAACTCGTCAATTAATGTATTAAAGTTATAACAAGCTGACCTGACCAGCCGCACACGCGAACGTCTGCCAAGTCTTTGCCATTGGTGTCGTGGCGAAACCTACCGTACGACCAAGGTATGATTCCGAATAAATAAATAATTATTTGCATTCGGAAAGTCAGAAACTCCAGATAAGCTTTCGGAATCTGCTTTTTCGGAAAGGTAAAATAATTGCTAAAATGGATTCGGACAGTGATTTTGGACCCCGTATAGGCATCCGGTACATACCGGCTCTTATAGACAGGGCAAAAAACATGGGTACCGTGGTTTCTACAAGGGATTCGGATTTAGGGTCGGATTCTGGAAAATATTGGTCAAAATGGGCTCGCATTCACTAGCATTCGGAATCATACCCTGGTCGTACGGTAATTGATTTCGCCAATTAGGTAGGTTTGCGCATTAGTTTGCGCAAACGGAGGAGTTTGCGCAGGCTGTGTGCTGCCCAAGAGTCACCCCCTCGCGGACAGTGCCACTTCGTCATCCCCTGCTGTACGCGAGCCCACGCGCGCGCGGAAGGAGTTTCGCGCGGCGGCCGAGATATTTGGGACGGTGGCGTTCAGGCGTCGACGGCGACGATGAAGACCACCAGTAGTTAGAGTCGTAGATTTGGTGCTAGTCCCGGTTCTGCGGGATAGCGTTTGGTTGGTAGATTAGAGGTGGCGAAGTCTTCGAAGTCGGACGGACCTCGATTGCGTAGGAGATTGCGTATTCGTGTGAGTAGAAGTGTAAGTGTGAGTGTGAGTGTTGCAGTAAACCGTGAGCAGTGTAGGGCAAG